CCCCAAAACCCCAAAACCCCAAAACCCCAAAACCCCATCAGATTTAGTAGTGAAATTGTTATCAAATTGTGAAATAATAAATTAAATCTAAAGTATAATTAATTTATTTAGGGAAATAATATGAATTTAAGATAGAATCGCTAGGAGCATGTAAACCAATGGAATGGGTTATCGCTGGATTAAGTTTTAGCAACAAATCATAATGAGCGATAGAATAAAAATGAGGCTAATCAAGTGCGAGCCAATAGAAGAGTTGAGCATAGAGTAATTGGAAGACCAATAGATAGTCGCATTCAAGCTCCTTTGCTGTACCAATAATAGCAGAGATAATAGCAAATTAGAACTAACAACCAGCTTCCACCTTGATAGTTAAATATTGCCCCAAATCATCCTGTGAGACCTACAAATAGCATTATAGATGAGATGATTGATAATCCTCAATTCCTGATAAACCCAAGAATCACAGCGAATGCATCTAATAATTCACCCTTCCCTAATCCAAACCAGAATAGAAGGAGTAATTTGAGACCACCTTCTAATACATCTTCAAGACTGGGCTCCTAGAGCAATTAAATCAGGAACAATGGCAATAGAATATTATAAAGTATAAATAACAATATGACTAGAATTCAAAATCTTAGGTCTATAGATCACTAACCAAGAGATCCCTTTGCAAATATAAATATGAGACCATATGAGAATTTGATAAGAAATAATAATCTAGAGGATCATCTTGACTTGGACCTTCTAGACTTCAATGCAAATCGTAGATTTATGCTAGACTCAGATTCTGACGAGGAGGTAAAAGAGTAAAGATTTGAGTTTAATCTTCAGCATGAGATTGAGGAATTGTTGATGCCTGATGTCAGATTCAGGGATAATTAGAATACTAATTTTAGATCTACGAATAGATCAAATGCCTTAAGATAAATGTCTAACCAGAACAGAATATAGTAATAACGATAGTAAAATGAGATATAAAATCCATTAAGAGCAGCAAATAGAGTCTCTCCAAATAGAAACTAAAATCTAGCCATTCCAATTAATGAGAATATTAATGTGGGCTTTAGACTCAACAGAATGAGAGGTGGTCTCTAAAATCTGAGAAGAAGACTAGAGGACTTAGACCAAATTCTAGATGATATTGAGGAGTATTAAGTTGAGACTGATCAATTGGTTCAAAATATTGAATAAATAGATAGGCTTTTAGGCAGGTAAAATCAGGAGTAAAAGAAAGGTATCTCTGATGAGGGTCTTAAAAAACAAAAATGCTTTACCTATAGCCAAATAGATGGTCAAGATACTTGCTCAATTTGTATTAAAAATGTTTCTAAAGATGAGAAGGTTTATGAGTTAGTATGCAAGCACATATTCCATGAAGAATGTATCGATCCCTGGTTGAAGTAAAGTCACTTATGTCCTAACTGTAGAAAGGATCTTAACTGACTTTAAAGCAATATTATAAAAGATAATTGATTATTCTGATATTACAAGATTTATTTACGCTGTTTGTGATAATTTAACCTTAATTTCATAAGTTAATGAATAAGTTTTAATTTATTTAAACAAACATCGAAGAAGCTGTGCACTTCTTTAGTTACTTAAAAGTATTGAAAGAGAATATGGAAAGAAAGTAGCATTATTTGAGATATGATGCGGCTCATATTTTTTAAGAACCTAAAAGATACACATTAACATAAGCATTTAATTAAAAGTCACTGAGGTGTCAAATTAAAACTAATTATTCATAATTTAACAACAAAGTATCTATCTCCTTCCAACCTGATTTTGTATTCTTCAACAAACTTCTTAAGTCTCCTTTCAGTTATTCTTGCTAATAAAATAAATGTAAATGGTGATTTACTTATATAATTCCTAAAAATTTTGTCATCACTTTTTGATTTCCCATGCATGAAGTTATACAACTCATTTACTGTGAAGCTTTCCAGTTACTAAAGTATTTTATAAGGATTGATATATAAATACATTAATATAGGACTCTAACTTGTCATCTTTTCTTTTACGAATGTCCAAATATTATTAAACTTTTTATTGAGCATCAACTAGCAGATCTTTCATTTCAAATGACATTGAGTGAGCCATCAGGAATTTTTTAACATTTGTCATTCTCTTAATTTTCTCCAAACTTCTTAAATACTCTGGATAATCCATAAAGAAAGTCTAATATTTTTGTATTTTTGAAAATAATTACTGAATCAGAACCAATAATATGATCTCCTGTAAATAGTATAGTCTCTTATTCCTTTTATTCCAAAAGAAAACATAAGTGATCTTTTATATGCCCTGGTGTCTCGATAGGCTTAAGAATCCAGTCATCCATTAGAAACACATCCCCCTCTCTTATATTGAAAAGATATTATGCAAGATCAGGGTGCTCGAACAATCTCAATTAGTCTGTTTCTAAATTATCACATACGTATTTCAGTACTATAGGTGACGCATGGCCAAGCTACTCACAAAATTTTACAATATCATATGCTCCTTGATAGTGATCAAAATGACCATGAGTGATAAATATTTTCTAAATTTATTAAGGCAATATTGCAAATATCTTACTTCAATCTAGCAGTTTTGATCTCTCAGAAATACTCTGATATTATCCAGGAATTTTAGGTTATTTCTATGACAAGCATCTATCAAAAATCTCTTTTATCCCTAGCCAACGATATAAACATTAGTACCACATAAAAAGCCATCTCCTAATTTATTAAAAATAAATCCTATTAAAGTTTACCTGGGTTTTCTCCTGGGATGAGCCAAACATTCTATGTCATTTGTTTGTATTGAAAGTCTTTTTAATATTAGCTTTTTTCAACTTTATGAGTTGAAAACATATTGATATGTATTGACATTGTTCTATTACTTAAATTAAATGCGATACTTAAAACTTAAATTAAAATAATAAAAATGAGATTAGAGCAAGAGTCATTTGCCGGTGATGAAAAATTATAGTAACATTTGTAGCAAAATTAAGACCTGGAATTTGATGAAACATTTGTTGGATGACACATTTACAATGAGGATGTTGAAGATGAGGCTCATGATTATTATAAATAAAGATAGACATCGCTGCTAAGGGCAATGAGCTAGCAGAAAAATTTGCCTCATCCAAGACAATTGACTAAAATTCTGAACTCGCATAAACTTTAGTAGCCCTTGAAAATCAATAAGACTTTGATTGACTTAGTTTAAAGAGATGCTCACTATTAAGGATTAAAAGATGTTTAGATTCCACCATTAGTTATCAGGAAGTGTGAGAAATATCACGAGGATAGAGAAAGGGTGCTGAGAATTATTAGAGAAAAGCTGATAAAGTAAATGGGGGAAAAGGCAAGAGTGATTCGGGAGTGAGCTACAAGAAAGAACAAAGATTTTTCAATTGTTAGTGAAAGAAGAGAACGAATTTTAAATAAATCAACAAATAATCAGAGCAGATTCCTAAAGAAAGATAGAATAGATCCAGAAGAAGATAGAGCTTAGAAAGAGATAGAGAGATAGCTAAGAATGGATGGGTAAACTGGCTTGCAAGAGACAGATGTATTTATACTTAAGAATGTTTTGGAAGTGCTGCCGTAAGAACTATTTGAATAGAAGCTGAAGAAAGACTCTCTTGATATGGATGAAAGAGATATACATGAAATGCTTTTAAGCTACAGAAGCAGAAAGAAGCCTAAAACAGTTTAGAAATAAATGGTGAGGACTCGAAGTGAATTCAATCTAACTAAGCAGACTAATCTCACTAAGTACGATGTAGTAGCATAGACTAAATATCTTAGATCATACTTTGAAAAAGAAAAGCCAGAATCAAATAGCAAATCAAGTAGTAAATAAAAATTTGGACTCAGTCGATAAAAATCATTTGTTAATTCTAGTAGAGAAGCAATGACATCTTCTCCTTAGAGAGATCTATTTAGTTTGAGAAAAAATAGTTAGAGCATGAGTTTTTACTCAGGAATTAAAGGTTACTTAGGGTCTCGATAGTTCTAGAGTGATGAGCTCTTTGAGGGTATGTAACCAGATCTTAGGAAAAAGATGTATTAGCATATGAATCAAACTTAATCTCTTTTTCAAGGAGCTTAGATTTCAAATCAATTGTAAACGAATTCTATTGTAAATCATGGATATCTTAATTTTGACAAAATCAGGAATTAAGCTAGATATATCAATAGCTAATTTCTCAGAGATTTAAATGCCTTTAGAAATAAAGTTTAAGATAAGTCCTTTATCAATGGATACGGTAGAAATGAATGAAGATTATATCTATATGTATTAAAGATTTTCTTATTATTAATATAATCTTAAAAATAAATATAGATTTTATTAAATAGTTTAATTTCCTTTTTTCCAAATATTTTATTGAAAATATCTAACTTCTTGGGGTTTTGGGGTTTTGGGG